CTTTTTTCTCAAAAAAAAAATTATGATATGTTTTTTCTTATAAAATCATATATATACAAAAAAAAAAAAAAACGCATTTGCACAAAAAAAAACCCTTATATTTTATATAAAAACTTTTTTTAAAAGGTTTTTTGTATATGAAATATCTGATTATAAAAATAGGTATTTATTAAGTATATAAATATATACAATTTCGTTTTTATAAAAAATGTATACAAGAACGTATTTTACAAAAAAATATATACAAACACCTATTTTATTATAAATGTATACAAACATCTTTATATATATATATATATATATATATATATATAATATATATATATATATATATATATATATATATATATATATATGCACACAAATTGTAACATCCCAAAATTAAGACAAAAAATTTTATTTTTAAATTAAAATATATTATAAAACCAACAGTACAAGAAAACATGCATAATAACATATCATGTCATCATAAAACAATATCAAAGTATAATCTCAAAGATCTCATATGCGGAAAACATAGTGTGATGCGTTGCGATCGCTAGCTCATTTCCTTTGAAAACGAAGTACTTGAAACCAAAACTGAAAACCGTAAGCACGAAGCTTAAGGAGTTCCCCCATCATACCACATACCATACATAACACTTAATGTGACATCCCCATTTTCACGGCAAAAAAAAACCGATTTTGTTTACGCTTGATAAAAATCAGAGTACCTCCTTTAATAAAAATATTGCGGAATTTGTTCCCACTAAAACATAATAAATACGTTATCAAAGCATTTCCGAAGAAAAATATTTTTATTCATTTTAAAACATTTGGGATGTCATCGTCAATACAGAAGTATACGCATAAACAGAACTTACATTCAATATCACTAGTGATTTATATCTCCTTAATCTCTCGGTGTAATGTGACTTCATCTCAACACCTGTGATATAAATAAACTGAGTGGGCCAGGTTGGGAAATCTGGTGAGTACATAGGGTTTTCAACCCACAATAAATAAGTTTATTAACTTTATCAAACCAAACAAACCCGATTACCCATTCCTGTTATCCTCACTTTTACGTCCCTAAAACATCTAACACAAGGGACTTTCATCGGGGTGACAACACATGTTGTGGGGGTTCCTCAGCAATTCATGTCAAATAAGGCAACCATGCGGGGGATGAAGTACTGCTGGTGAGCACACAATTCAAATAAACACCTACAGGTTGCGAGCCTACTAGCATTCCAATTAACTGTCTAGAATAGTCTGTGGTCGTCATCTATACTCCGCTAGATGATTGGATCATCAATAACATCTATATCAAGGCCTCTCATTATTTTATTTGGTCACACAGAAACTATTACATCTACCCATGTTTTACCCAACACGTTTTGTAGATATAAAATAAATATACAATTTAAATAATTTAAAACGTGTATAAAAATATTTCATCCAGCATAGACAACAAGTATTCAGACAATATGCACACATAGCACGTAATTTATATTAAATACTTCATATCTATGTGTGAGATGAAAGGGACCATGCACTCACTTGAAAAGGTGATGATTCTGAACTCAGACCGCGCTTCACTTCTTCAAAATAATATCCTTCGACGAAACCTAGCATTATTACCACTAGAGTTTAGTATATTATTCGCCGAGACTAATTAATAGTCTAGCTATTATTACTATTATATAAGCATTAAACAATACTTATAATAACCCATAATAATAGCCTAAGTACTTATTATAAGTTCGTAATAACGTTACTATAATTAAATAAAAGTTATATTAAAAATAGCGTAGGCGTAGCTCACTTACAGCGGGTTTTATAGAAAATCGGGCTTTGCTTGGAGCAGCATTCCCGAGCCGAAAATCTCTTCTTATCGGAGCAGTCGAGCACTCTAGGGCTTCCACCTCGTGCTAGGGAGGTTCCCTAGGCTTTTCGAGGGCTTTCAGGGCTAGAGAGAGGTTCTGGAGAGAGAGAGAGAGAGAGAGAGAAAGAGAGAGAGAGAGAGAGAGAGAGAGAGAGTAAAGAGAAGAAATAATGGGAAAGGTGTAAAGAAAATGAAGGTGAGAGAGGTTCTATTTATAGGGTGAAAAATGGCTGAACTTGGTGCCATATGTCACCATCTAGTGGCAAGACTTGGGGAGAAAGCAATGGTCAAGATTGTGCCACATCACCCATTTTCGCACAGCACACTTCCGGCTTCTAAAATCCGTAAATTTCACATACGAACTTCGTTTTTGACATTCTTTATATCCACGCGTAGGTAAAAATAAGATCTACAACTTTCATTTTGACTCCGTCGGCTAATTCTCGACCAATATTAAATTTAACAATACGAGGAGATTATATTGTTAAATGTCCACGTAAAATTCATAACTTCTACATACGGACTATATTTCGTCTGTGTTTTTACCGTTGAGTTCCTATTAATGAGATATTCAATTCTCATTTAGGTCGCGTAGGCCAAAAACCGCTCGATCTAAAATTCGAGTTTCGGGTTGTGCACTGATAAGCCAAATCTTAGAAAATTCATAACATCTTCATACGAAGTCAGATTTGGGCGTTCTTTTTTTGTATGTTCTCTGGTTAACGTATAATAAAACTTTTGTTTAGATTTCTAAGTCTAAAAATTCCTTCATCGTAAATTCACTATTTACGTCTCCAGTGTGGTGCCGGTTTTTCCGTAAAACTTCGACGTACCATAACTTCTTTGTTATAACTCGGATTTCAACCTTCTTTATATGTACGGAACCCTTGAGACGTATTCTAAAACTTGGTTAAGATTATTTATTCTAAATAATCTTTTGTCAAAAATTCGTTTCGACCCTTATTATCTCTAAATTAACTAGCTCGGATCTACGAGAGTTATACATAATGCATAACATAACTGGGTACTAACTACCCTTTATGTCCTGTCGATCGGTACCTTGCCTAGTATATCAGTGTGCTAGCCTCCCCTTCGGTCTTGTCGACCGGTATCTTGCCTAGCATATCAGGGTGTTGGCCTCCCCTTCGGTCCTTTCGATCGGTAACCTTGCCTAGCATATCAGGGTGTTGGCCTACCCCATCGGTCCTTTCGACTGGTATTCGGGGACTATTTCACCCCTACCACTACCACATAATATCATACCAGATATGTCATAACTAGGGGTGTGCAAAAAAACCGCAAAACCGAAAAACCGAGCCGAACCGGCCGATCCGAAACCGAAAAAAACCGAAACCGAAAAAAACCGAAACATAAAAAAACCGAAACCGAAAAAACCGGATATCAACGGGTCGGTTTTGGTTTGGATACTTAGGTATCCGCGGATAACCGAACCGAACCGCTTGATATATATATATATATATATATATATATATATATATATATATATATATATATATATATATATATATATTCATTTTCATTGAACTTTTAACCATATCCCAAACAAAAATCATGATCGGCTATTCTAATTTTACACTTCTACATTATGTTTTCTTCTATTTTTATTTTTATATTTATTATATCAATTATAATGTATGTTATTTGACCTTTATTATGTATTTATAATTCTTTTGACTTAGTAATTTTTGAAAGAAATCGTTGGAATGAAGTTTGTAATTTTAATTGTATTTGAATTCTTATATTTAGCGGGTACCCGTGAACCGAACCGTGGTTACCCGCCTTTATACGGTTCGGTTCGGTTCGGGTTTTTTGCTAATTCGGTTCGGTTTCGGTTAGTGCACATGAAGTACCCGCCCCGTGATGACGGTTCACAATTTGATTACTATCCGAACCGCCCCGCCCCGTTAACACCCCTAGTCATAACTATCTAACATAACTGGGTACTAACTACCCCTTCGGTCATTTCGAACGGTACTGGGGTCTAACCTACCCCTCCTATCACATATCACATAACATCATAGCATACTAGCACATAATCATAACAGATAGCAACATACCAGATAATTATCACAGAGACAATTATCTTTACTATAACTCTTACTAGTGGGCCGACCTTGGTGCCTTCGACCCACTTCTACTAGAAGGTAACTCACCTCACACTGTTGAAGTCCTACAGACCCAACCCTAGCTACTGGATAACAGGTTCCCGACCTGTCAACATCAAAATAACACCCAATTAATAATTAGGTTCCAATACATAACCATAAGTTCGTGCTTAGGGTAAAAGACTTCTTTACCCGTAATCTTAGCTTGATACAAGCCCAAGGCTCAATCCAAAGGCCCAACAGTCAACTATGAGTCAAAGCGCAACATATGGCCCAATTTTCCAAATTGGGCCCAAACCTTTACATGGTCTTATTCTAAGGCCCCACCATTTATTCCAGTCCAACATTTGACATTCTAATGGCCCAATATCATATAATCATTAAGGACCAAACTATGGCCTAGTTTTCCAAATTAGGCCCAAAGCTTCATATGGGCCTTACCCTATAGCCCATCTAATTATTCTAGTACATTGATTGTTCTTGGATGGACCATTATTGGCCCAATCACCAAAGCCCAATAGAAAGGCCCAAATCAAAGCCCAAGTGAAATTAGGGTTTTACATAAAATGATAATTAGGGTTAAGTGTTTCTCACTTAACCCATTAAGGACTTAATCCATTAAGTTCATCACTCTACTAGATAAATCATATGGTGTGATTAGGTGTAATTCACAATTCCATTCCAATGGCCCAAATGTGGGTCCTAATAAGTCCAAGGCCCATAAATCCAATGTTAGGGTTCTCTAAACCCTAATTAGGGTTTCCACCCAATCATAGCCCAATAGGCCCAAAACTAAATCTTTAAGCCCGTTAGGGTTTCAATAGGTCAATTAGGGTTTTGCTAGTCGGGCACTACCCACTACCACCTCGGGTAGTGGTGGTCATTGGTGGCTCACAGCGACAACCACCACCTTACGGTGGTATTTATGGTGTCTAGTCTATTTTTGTCCAACCATCCAAAAGCAACCAAATGCAAGCAAAAGCACACTG